CAGAGGCCCAAAGTCCATCCACAACCTTAGTGTATTGACATGTAAATATATGTACATTGGCCAATACCTCTATTTTTATGAATTAATATATTAACATATGTACAGACCTATACCTCTATCCATATCTTTGCTTCCTAGATCATTCCTCTGTTTCCTTTCACCTTCCTCCTGCCCCAGCATCATGCTCACCCTACTTCTGCCTCTTAGTAACTTCTCTGGGCTAGATTGCTGTTGCTCCAACGCCCCCAGGATCTCTACATCCTCGTTGTTGATTTTAATTCCCTAGTTGTTCCCTGTCTGTGGCGTTGTTTGCTCACTGCTCCCTTCCTCCACTTCCTCCCCCCAGTCCCTCTGAGACTGTCTGTCCCTTGCTTTCTCCTCGAGCGTGTTTGCCGTGCCTGTCTTATATAAGTAGGCAATCCAACAATAACAGAGACCAAACAAAAAGAAGACAAAGGTATTTTTTTTTAAAGGCATACATAATTCCAGGTTTGTCTGCTGACCTTTGTCTCCTCACTGGTCCTGGGGGAATAATTCTGGGAGCTACCCCTCCTAGCCTGATGTCTATTTTGGGGACTCTTTAGGGGCTCTGTGCCTTTTCTTTGCTCCGGCTGCTGTTTTGTTATGTTCCCTTCTTGGTTTTCCCTGCAGTTGGGAGAGGGGGGAGGCAGGGTGGTGGTTCAAACTGGACTAACTCCCTGCCATGTGTCCCCAGTAGTGTCCTCTGTTGCAGTATGCTCCAGTGAGGGGACATCATGTCTCAAGCTGTTGTGGGTCCTACAGTCCTCTCTGTGCCTTAACAGCTCCGTGCAAGGACATTGTCCTCCAGGCTGGGTGTGCCCATATGGGATCCGGACCATCTCTTTCTCTTTTCCCTTGGTTTGCTTCAGTGTGGGCGTGGCTTGCTGGCCCCTCTCCCCAACCTGTAGGTTGAGTGTTGTTCTCTGTAGCATATGTATGTCTAGGGAGGGGGTCAGTTTGGCTCTGATTGGAGCCGACCCTGTAGCCCAATCTTTTCATGCATTCCTCCAGGTGGTTATATTGCCCTCAAGGTTTGGTGTGCCGTGGTGGGATCTGTATGCACACTCCCGATTCTGTGGGATTTATATTTTTTAGAGTGATCTTGCATTGCTTCTGAAACTGAAAATCCCAAAACATAGATTTTGATGTCACCACTCTCAGCCTAAGCTCACATTGGTACTCATGTCTGAAATGAATATCAGAAGCTTCCCCATGTCTCAGAGCCTAAATGAAATGCCATCTGTACCAGCCAGAAGATGTGTTCTTTGAATTTCCTTAGCACTTTGTCAAAGTCATTCTCCGGGTACTTATAATTATTCATGCATACTCAACTTATTCTCCCTAGCCCATTTATGGTCACTCAAGGGCATTATTGTCTTTAGAGACATGCATTTATTTTGGAGGCAGAGGGATACAGTACAGGTTTGGATAGGTGGATAGCTGATTATATACGTGAATGAATGGAACAAAGGAAGACAAGCAAGAAAGTGAAAGAGAAAGGAATTACCCAGAAGCTCTCTTTATAGACAATGCATTTTAATTGTCATTTTGACCAGTGACAGTATAAAACATGGAACCAAATATATGCAGCAGGGAGGAGAGTTTTTCCAGATATAAAGCTAAATACCTTAGAGTAAGTTGAGAGGGATCATTTTATCTGGTGTTCTCTCTCTCCCGTCAAGTTGAAGGTGACTGATAGTGACACTATGGGACAGGGTAGCACTGCCTCTGTAGGTTTCTGAGACTGTAACTGTTTACAGAAGTAGAAAGCCTCATCTTTCTCCCTCAAAGTGGCTGGTAGTTTCCAACTATGGACCTTGCAGATCCCATTAGTAAACACTACACCATCAGGACTTCTCTTACCTACCTAGAACACTTCAAAGGAAATGTGCCTCACCCATCGCAGCTCTGTTGAAGGGACACATTTTTGAGCCCTGTGACTTGTTATTCTCAGCTAGTGGATATTAGAGATGGAAGGACTACCCAGATCCTTACTATCAAGAATGTGGATTGAGAAATGTGGAGAGTTAGTAGCAAGACTGGACACTGCAAAATGCACAAAGGGCAGAAATGTGGGAGAGAGTGAGTTTGAGATTGACCATTAGATAGAGCAGAGGCTACCTGCTCGATCCTCACTCTTATAAATAGACCACAAAGATATGGGTACTAGAGCAAAAGGGGCAAAGTAATCATATGGTGCTCAGCTGGCAGAAAGACTAGTGTCTGGAGTCTTAAAGTCTTCAAACAAGCAGCCATCTAAGTGAGGTGTCAACTAAGTCTCCTTGGAAGAAGCACACCAGCCTGTGCAATTTAAAGATTGTAAATAATAAAATCCAAATCGGGAGGAGGGAAAGGTATCAGAGCTTTCATTCTGGACACTCGGCTCACAGAGGGTGTGGATGACAGTGGAGACCTCAAATGCATTTGCTACAGGGTCCCTATGTGGATTAAGCCTCTAGTGAATTTCCTCTGACCATAGTCCAGGCATGGAAATAGCCTTGCTATTATAGACGGAGAGGATTGTGAAATGGACTGTGCAGATATAGTTAGATCAAAAGGTAACACCTTATCCTTTGATTTTCCTTTTGGCCAATTTAAAAGTTGTTTCAGTTTTTAATGTTTTCCACTTTCTTTTTAATTGAGGTTTTTCTCCATTTTGTTGGATCATTGTTTTCTTGTTTCTTGTTTGTGTTTTGTGCATTTTTCTGTATATCAAATTCAGGATAGGTAAATCTATAGCGATAGTAGCTGGATTAATAATTACCTAGGGGCATGGCAGTTGAGGTTGGGGGAAAGCAGGGAGCTACAAACAATGAGTGCGAGAAAGAAGAAAACGCTCTCAAATTGATTGTAGTGAAGAGATGATATGGCAACTGTTCTTTAAAAAATTGGGTTAAGTTGTATTATAAGTGAAATATATGTCAATAAAACTATTTTTAGAAAGAAGTAGGGACTGGAACCCTCAAAGAAAGGAGTGGCAAATAACTAGTGCAAAAAATATTGTTACACTGGGTTTCCTAGAGAAACACAGCAGTTACACTCCTCTGTGTATAAGGAAGAGCTCCAGTCCACAGGGCCCATGCCGGCCGGGGACCGCTTAGCTCCAAATCGATGATGCTGGAAAGTGAGGTGGTCAGTAGGGAGATCGCAGGCCTGTGAGTGCAGAGTCTGT